TGCGGTGTAATGACAATACACACCCACACCCACACCCACACCCACACCCACACCCCACACCCACACCCACACCCACACCCACACCCTGCTTAATAGTTATAGATATCTTATTCCTATTACTGATGGCGAATAGCTGCGATTTTGAATTTATGGAATACATGGACGAACAGTCCATAGATCCAAATTTAATATGCAGTATTTGTCATAAAGCCCTTAAAGATCCAATTTGTACACCATGCGATCATACCTATGGCCGCGAATGTATCACACAATGGCTTAATCAAAACGACAAGAGTTCATGTCCAATGTGTCTTAAAATGCCCATATCGATTAATGAACTTACACAAGCTAGTCGTCCTTTACGAAATATGCTTGATCAAGTTCGTGTTCGGTGCACATTGTGTGCACAAACTGATCTACAACGTGGAAACTTTGTGAATCATATAAACAAGATTTGTCCAAAATCAGTAGTTCCGTGTCAAGCTGCTGATATTAAATGTCCTTGGACAGGGCCACGTGATGAATTACAAAGTCATATCTCAACATGTGTTTTTGAACCTTTGCGACCAGTATTATTTTCACTGGTTGCTGAAAATTGACAACTGATCGATCAAGTTCAAAAACACGATAATGAAATAAAAAACTGATACAACAGATGCATCAGTTACAATCGAGTAAGTAAATGTTTTTTTGTCAACTTTTAAAGCAAGCTTCCTTCACGTACGATTGTTGTGTTTTTAGCAGCAAAAAATAAATCCAACGAGGAAAGTGACGCTTCATCAATCTCGGAATTTTCTATTGATGCTTCAGATCAGAAGGAAGAAAACGCCATATTCATAAGAAATCTACCTGCTACCATCAAATTTAACGATTTATTTGATTTGTTTTCAAAAATTGGACGCATCAAGGTACTCCGAGCATTTTCATATATAGAAATGTATGGCAAGTTTAGATACTTGCAATTAATATCAAATCTATTCTATGCAATAGATGAATAGAATGCATGTAAACATGATTAAACGTTGCATAAGCAAGGGTCTAATTTTACTCATCATTGTGATTGGCGCTCAAGAAGAAGCATGAGATTATTACTGTTTCTGCTTTTTTCTTGACGATAATCGTTGTATTCTTTGTTTTCGTGCAAAAATTTTGTCCAAATTACAGTTATGTGTATTTTTTCTACTTGATGCAGATAATTTAATGCATAAAGTTAGTTGAACACAATTTAACTTGATATATAAATGCATTCGAAGATCGGTCCTATCACTACAATCTTGATAAAAAGATGTTTGCTTATTACTTATATTTTAATAATTTTTTAGTACAATGCAAACAATAAACAGGTCGAGATATTTATATTTAAAAATCCAAACAAGAAGAACGATCCATGCAGCGCAAAAGTAGTTTTTATCAACAAAGAGTCAGCTGCTGCTGCAATTGCTGAATATAATCGTATGCATTATCTTTAAAATACATGATGGAATTATACATTTGTTTTAATGTCTAGGTAAACATATTCCTCAATGGAATACACGTCTTCAAGTTGCTATGTCATATTCAAAGAAAAGAAACTTGAATGAAGTCGGAAAAACAGATAATCGTAAATAGATATGATGATTCGTATAAATAGTAGAGTTTATACTCATTTAGAAGGAAATACTGGCTGTTGTCTAGCTAAAGTAATGGAAGAGCGTGAGAACTCTTCAAACAAAAATCAAAAAAGCTCAACAGCTGTTGATCAACGAGAATTATACACCGACGAAAATCAGGCAACAGCGAACAAAAACACACCGTCTCTTTAAGTACAGGAATGAATATGAAAATTCATTTTTTATATTTTTCAATAGTCGGCGACGACGTCCTCATCATACCGAAAAACCAACAAGTTAAACCAAAATTCGTCATTCAACGAACATTGAACTAATCAAAAATAAGTTTAATTATTGATGCATTACTATTATACGTTTTCCGCTTCACAATAAAGTCTTATTCAGTTTAGCTCTCGCCAATTTTCACATATTTCAAATACCTCAATCAATAAGTCTGAAAAGTATGATGGAAAAAGGCAGCACAGAAAAATATCGAAAACCAAAATGTGAGATGAAGATGTGGATTTAAGATTCAGGCTGAACCTGTGAGAGATTTGTACTGGACTACACTTTCATCTTCAACATTTCTATCTCTCAACATTTGTATTATTTTCGAGTTCAACATTTTTCTTTTCTGCCCTTTTCCATCCATTCGTCGGAAATTATTTGGAATTTTGTGAAATGTTTTTATTATTTCAATTTTGAAACCACTCATATGTATCATATAAGAATATTTATTTTTCTTCAACTTACTTATTAGAAATTTATGCTCATGAAAGGGCATCAAACTAGCTTGATTAATAGTTTTTTCCTAAATAATTCGATCCACCTGGTGATATCTGGAAGGAAAAATGTAGCAGCTGATGTCGAATGACTCCAAAAAAAAGATTGTTTCGCGTACAAAAATGTTCTCATATGCCTCGGTTTTTGTTAGATTCATTTCCGTCGGCTTCCACATTAAATAATATCAGAAAAGATTTTTTCTATTCTTGCCAAACTCGTCAATCGAATATTATTCGATGCAGCTGATTCTTGTGTATCGATGGGGTGTGGATGTGAGTGTGGGTGTGGGATGTGAAGATGGGGTGTGGGTGTGGGTGTGTGTGGATAGAGAAAAGACTCACCCACACTTGCATTCAGTAGGATATAGTGCTCATCCGAATAAGGTCACTTTTAGAAATTTTACCAATAACAATTGGATGGATATTGCTGTAGCGAACTATGATACAGACACTATACTACTTCTTTCAAAGAAATGTTAGCGTTATAATTTTTAAATTTAACTTTTCTAATATCTTTGAGTTTTCTACTACATTTCTTATTTTGAAATACAGCAATAGAAAAGTATTAAAAGAAATCCTCTCCGGCTCAAGCAGTAGAAGTATCGTAATAATAATTTTAAAAATCATTCCATATACACTAATAATCGTGTTTGTTTTCGTTAATTGAACGGTATAATCTAAGAAGAATCAATTTCATATATCACCATCGACATGTCTAAAGTTTTAAAAGGGTGTGGTGGCTTTTCCTTCTCCACTCTTAAAAGCTCACCCACACCCCACCCACACCCCATCCACACCCGCATATTGTAAAGATCTCTTTCAAGAAAATAGAGTGTTCTCATAAAGGAATTGACGTTTATTATAATATAACTTTGTAAGAAGTAAATGCACGATCGAGACAAAACAACATTGATTCAGATTTCAAGAACTACATAAATAGTCTTTCTCCTAATTCGCGTTATTTTGTGATGCATCGGTTCCTTGATGAATACGTCGAGCTGATTTTATTTTTCGATATAATTTCATACCGTTCCAAACAATAAATTGTAAGCTGTTAGTAAGTCCACCATAGAGAGAAAGCAGTGATGTAATCATATACAAAATACCTCTACGTTGAGTATATTTATAATTACATATGATCGGTGCACATGTGTTATAATAGACCTCATAGCTGGTGATATTTGCCCAGTTTTCGATGAAGAGTTCATCGATTATTGTACCGATTGGTGTAACAAGTGAAAAACGAGATGGTATTGATCTGTTTAGTGGATTGATAATTAATGAAAGTACTTCAGGCAAAGTAAAATTCAGTGGTTTTGAGTTGTTAGGCATTGTATAGTATTCCAAATAACTGAGAATTGTGTTGGTGCAGTTCGATGATAAGAAGCATTCAAATGTTGACATGCGTAATCCATCTATTGGAAAACAACCGACAACTAGACCAGGTAGGACCAGACCAGGAGGGCCTATTCTCAAGGGTGCTTGACATTCGTTCGAAACAGCACAATTACATGTGCCATTAGCATACATCACAGGAATATTTATCAAGACATAGTCATTAGATGCATGGCCATACTCGATTGACCAATCGGTATTGAAAGCCGTCGGAATTAAATTGATTTCAAGTAATCCAGTAGTGGCAGCGAGCAATCGTCGAAAATCAAGTGGTGTTCGCTTGATTAGTTGATCGATGATTACATCCACGTGGGATAAAAAGAGGCTCCGAGATAGTACCAGTGCATTTACCAATGTTGATTCGTTAAAGTTTGTTAAGGCATGATTCACAACACTTTTCGATGTATTACAAAGGCTGCTCATTATCTGATGCTGCTTACTGAGCAGGGGTCTATCGAGTCGCACATAACTATCAGCGTTGGGTCCATAGCCATATAAGGTTGTAGTCCATGTTGAAGAAACGAATGCACTCGAGCATACCTATATCAAACAAAGTATCTCATTAAAAGAGTATTCATACCTACGAATGCATCGATGTTTCAAGTGAAGATGTTCGTTCATTTTCTATCCTTCCAATAGTGAATTTCGAAATCAAGCGGTAGTCTTTTCCTATCATGTCAGATTCACAAGGCGAATATAGAAAATAAATATTTAATTCAAAGACATCTTTGCATCTAAAGAGTAGGCATGGACCAAACCCAAACTCAAACCCAAACTGTTTGGGAGTTTGGGTTTGGGTTTGGGTTTGGTCAAATGAGTTTGGGTTTGGGTTTGAGTTTGGGTATTGAGTTTGGGTTTGGGTTTGGGTTTGGGTTTGGGTTTGGGTTTGGGTTTGGGTATTGAGTTTGGTTGGAGTTTGAGTTTGGGTTTGGGTTTAGTACAAAATTAATCGAGAGATTCGAATCTTAGCTTATATCTACTGGTTCTCTCATTTTCTTCGAGAAATAAAGTGTTGAGAATATAAGTCGACTCCTATGTTCAACTGATTTATATTATATTCGACAAGAATATAAACTTTAGTATACGAAAGTTGACCAAGAAGGGCATCAAAAAGTTCAGTGGTTCACTTTACTGCATAGGGTCGAGCCAAATTACAGTATCCAGCTTGAGTATAATTGGTCTCAAAAAAAAGAGTAGAATTGATCGGACACTCTAGCATACATGATCTGCTATAAGAAAAGAAAGTTATCATAGTCGATAACAGAAAACTTATGAATTTGTGACATAGCAAAAGAAGAACTGACTCCAATAATAATCATGGTTTATATTTGACACAGTTTCAATAAAGATTGTTGTAGTTCCGCAGTACAAAATATATAACAGTTTATCAGATTGTAGTTCTAGAGTTTTCTTCAAATCCATTTTACATTCACACTTGCAGAAAAATTAGATTGTGACTCATATTTTATGCATCGTGTTTGCTTCTGAAAAAGAGTTCGTTCTGTTCCGAAAATCATATCTTCGGTATTCAATGACATTGTCAGCGGATAGAGTATAGCCTCTTGAAGTGATTAGGATAAAAGCAAGTTCGCACTAGAATTTCTTATCCGCAAAGCTGAGACGTTTTTGAGTTTCTACATTATTTTTGACCTAATTTACAATACGTCTGTTTACTTTATATTGCGCATCTGTTCATAAGCATCAAAGACTAATCCTCTGAAGAAACATTTGTGTGAGCATTTCGATCAAATATCTATGATAGCAGGTGAAAATAGTTTTTCTATTTGCTTCGATATCCTTTTCCATTATATAAACAAATCGAAATTGATGCTGATAATTACAGTTTGTTAGTAGTATATTTTGACGCTGCACTATTCACGGAATGTCTTTCATAGACAAGAGAGAGATACTAAATGAAGTCTATTCAGAGGCAAAGTAAATCCACAGTTGATTGAGACTTGTTGTGTCTGACGAAGATTGTACTACTCTGTATAACTGATAGAGAATGCGCAGCTCTATGAAGCTTAAGATTCATTAAGAGATTCAAAAAGAAAGAACCTTAACACGTACGGGTAATCAGCAAGAAGCTTTATAAAATCCAATTCCATTTGCGATCAAAATAATGGATATCACAAAGCTACTTGAACTATTTCTGAAGCTAGAGAAAAAGGTAATAAAAACTTCATATCTCACTCTTTCTTCAGAGTGCTTCAAGGATTTCGCAGAAATACTCTTTGAATAGAGGGAATGAGATTTAGCTGTTTCCTAATTACTCTAAGTACTTGTGACGACGATAAGAATTCTTGCTGCATTTTGCAAAGTCTTTCTCATTCTCCAAGCCCAACCAGATAATTGAATTTCAAAACAATGATCTTAGTGAATTATGATCAAGTATCTGGAACTTAATGTCAAAAAGATTCCTATAAAATTACCTAGAACCAATATATTCCAGTCATACGTTAATGTGAGACTCTAACTAAATAAGACATTGCCTAGCGTAGATCTTCAGGGATATTTGTGTAGGGAGCATTCTCTTTTTGTATTTTTCGATAT